TTTCTATAAAATCTATACATAATGGACCGTATGCGTAAAAACTAAGCAATAGCTTTTCTTAAAATTTCATTCCTGTTGAGTACTTACATACGTTCACTTGTTACGTGCAGAGTGCACTTGCATAAAACGTATGCATGTAAATGCGTAAATAAAGGAGATATAATTTGTTTTACAATCTATTAATCTAAAGGGCAAAATTCTAATTCAAGTTGCCAGAGGGGCGTATTTGAAAATTAACGATATGAAAGTGGTGGCGGTTAGTAGAAGTCTAAAAAACTTAGGCTGGCGCGCTCGGGTCTCCCCGTACCGTCGCTTAACAATTCAAAAATCGGAAAAACACGCCGCCCAAATTTACAATATACAAGTTAATATGTTCTAGGTTGCAAAGATAAGGAGTACATACTCTTAAAAGGTTTTACAAATCATTTGGTAGATAATCCATATTCAAATTTGAAAATACAAAACTTAAAAAGGCAAATACGCGCAGAAGTCCATCGTCTACAAATCTATAAGATTTGTGCTCATTTTCTCAACATGCCGGCCCGCCTGTGCCGGAGCAATATTGAGCTGCTGTTTCAGGTTTTCTTGCGTCACTACCGCCTGGCTGAATAAATACTGTATGCGCTGCTGGACGGCTATACGGCCTTGAGGTTTCTTGGGCGGCTTTTGCACGGCCTTACTGGTCGACAGCATCTCATGGCGGCTTTGTTTCCTTCGAGGCTCCCCCCGACGGCGGCGCTCTGGTGGTAGACATACGGAGCGGTGCACCATGGTGTAATGCGCTTTGCCACATCAGTGGCAACTATCGTGTGAGTCACATGCGCCGGTTATGTGGGGCGTGGCCAGGCAATTTATACAATAGCGATGCACCTTCGCCGACTCGTACCTCTCATCTGGTGTCATTGCTTTGATCACAAGGCAAAATCGCAGACTGTGAAAGCGGCAGCACAAACGGCACTTGCTGAAATCCATTGCGCACGATTACTGTGGATGAGAATTTCGAAAGGAAGGATTATTAATTTAACCGGTGATATGGTGCGCGCTGTGTGGGAAGAACGGGTAAAATTTTTAAGTGTGATTATCATTAATTATGAGCGGTAGAGTAAGCGACTAAAAGGGAACTAAAGAGTGGTGTACTATTAGGAGGGTAAAACGCATAGTTTTGTAATGTTTGTTATGACAAGTGCGCTAATACAAATTGTCGTTATCTTGCAAGTGACGGTAGGTTATTGCGATGTTGGTTCGAGAGAAGTAGCTAATGAAGTTGCACAGGAAGCTCCTTTTGCTCACTGGATTCCTCCTTGTAGGGTTCAGATGTGGGGATGATAAGCTCACTTTAAGGAGGTTTGCGTTCGATTTAAGGCGGTTGCACTTCCTATGTGGAGTGTAAAAATGCCCAGTAAACACACATGGCGGGTACCCTAAGTGACTATAACATCCGATTGGGCAGAAAGCCTCTTGGAACAGAGAATTTCGGTTGCAATCGTTGGGTTGCTTATGCTTGGGTGGAATAATGGCTGGGCAAGAGACATCCGCTTGCTGAAGAGGAGGCAGAATTTGTTGTATAGGATAGGCAGTAGGGAGAAAATTAAACAGTTTTTTTGATAGCTGGTCATTTATTAGAACGACACTAGTCCTAAACCAACTAGGTATGGATGATTTCTCGTGCGATCATTGCTGGTGGGGGTTAAGGTCACGTGTATAAGAGATTGAAGTGGACGTCTGGGTGTCAACTGTGTGGGGTGGCATCAGGCCGGTCGCTTGACTTACTGCCGGGGATAGCAAACCTGGTGGATTTGGCTTCGGGTTTGAAGCGCAAGTTGATTGATGAACGCCCTTTGTAGAATTTGATGCTAATGCTGTTGACGGCGAAGGGGACGATGAAGATACTGCGTTGACCTTTGGAGCCTTATACCGTCGGTGGAAAAACGTTAAAAACGATGGAGGTTTATGCCCGTCCGGAGGTGGGAGTGACATGGTGGGTTTCCGTAGTTGCAGATGAGTTTGAGAGTGGTTCGTAGTATATGAACATGTTGGAGCTGACGCCTGTGTGGTTTTTTCGAACTCTGAGCAGGTATCAACCTCTCCGGGGTTGGAAGTTGATGTGGTCTGCTGAGTTTTCATCGGCGGAAAAGCCCCTTCCGGGCCGGAAGACACCGCGTCTGACAGTTTATGAAGTATATTTACGGTAGGATTCGGTTCAGTTTAAAAGCGTTTGCGGGAATCAGAGGATTCTATGCTATTTTTATATTTTGGGATTGAACTTAGAGTGGGGGGATTTTTGGGTTGTGTCTATCGGGGCAGACACCGGCTATTGGACTGTATATATTAATGGCCTTCATGGGAGCTGAAGGTTTTCTTGGGATGGGTTTTACGTTGGCGATTTTTGGAATTTTTGAGATGGTGTTGAAAAGTTGTAACGCTTCAGCCATCTCAGCTTTAATCTGAAAATATTGTTCAGAGCAGTTTTTGTACGTAGGTGTAACCGTACTAATAACCTCTGAAAATAGTGTGGAGCTGGAGAGTTTAATAAATGAAGACATGAGATCTGCCCAGTTTTTCTCTAAGAGCGACATTTTTACTTTGAGCAGCGATTCGGAGTTGTTCGCTGTTGAGGTAGACCTCCATCTCTAGCAAAAATTTGAAATATAATGTAAATGTAATGAAAATGTAAAAAAGTAATAACAACAAGTAAGAAAGTCTAAGTTCGGGCGGAGCCGAACATCAAATACCCGACGCAAGTATTAAATATATGTTTTTTCACCTTTCCGAAACCTTCCGCTAGATGGTAAGCCGGGTTGTATCAATTTTGAGTAAATTAGCGTCCTTCAATTTCGAAATATTGAAGTTTCAAGCATTTCTGAAATTTACCGTTATATGAGAAGCGGCCGTTATTTTAGTCAGATTTCAATAATTTTCAATGTTTTGCTTATATGTGGCAAGCACAATAACCACACCGAGTTTGGTACAAATTGGTAGAACGGTTACCGATATACTTATATGTGATCTAAGTGGGCGGTGCCACGCCCATTTTCCAAAATTTTACCATAAATGTATTTCTTGGTAAAGAATTGTTGCAAGCATCAATTTTGATTAAATTAGCTTCAATATTTACTGATTTATCGAAGATTTTGTATTTCTCTNGTATTTCTCTAAATTACCGTTATATGGGATGTGGGCGTGGTTATTGTCCGATTTTAAAAAGTTTCGGCGATTTTTTATGCTGTACCAAGGCCAACAACTGTGCCAAGTTTGGAAGAAATTGGTGCAGCGGTTACCAAGATATACACATGTAACCATAAGTGGGCGTGGCTACGCCCATTTTCCAAAAATTTATAATATTCTTATTTTTCGTCTAAAATTTATTGTAAATATCAATTTTGAGTGAATAATCTTCAGTAGTTACTAAAATATCGCAGTTTTCGTATTTCTGGAAATTACCGTTATATGGGAAGTGGGCGTGGTTAAAGTCCGATTTCGCCCATTTTCAATACCAACCTACCTTGGATTAAGGGAAACCTATATACCAAATTTCGTTGAGATATCTCAATTTTTGCTCGAGTTATCGTGTACACGGGCAGACGGACAGACGGACGGACAGACAGACATGGCTTAATCGATTTCTTTTTTCATCCCGATCATTTATGTATACATTTGTCTATATCTATCTCGATTCGTTTTGGCTGTTACAAACAACCGTTATGTGAACAAAATTAATATACCCTGTGCACAAGTGCGCTCGGGTATAAAAATTATATATAGCTATTAAATTTAATTGGCGTTGTTGTAATTCAATTTGTTTTAATTAAAATTTAGATATATTTCAATTATGTTTTTTTGGGTGTGCTTATTTGTTTTGTCCCACTGTGGCTCAATACCTTTTTTCTTCACTGTACTGTCTCAGCGCGTCTGAGTCCAGTTACTTGGATATGTATGTGCAGTACACAAGCGGAAAAAATGTGGAGCTTAAGTGTATACGCGTACGTATGTATTTTAGTGAAACTCCCCAACGAACACTGGAACAAAAATTTTCAAACTCAATTTGATTTTCAGCATTGTTTATCATTTGAAACTAAACATTTTCTCAAATTTTTCTCAAACATTGTTTATCAATTTGAGAACGGTTTGAGAAACATTTGAGAAACATTTTTTTTAGCATTCCGTTCCGTTACATCTGTGTCAACATGGCACAGATGTCGAAGTCCATCGGTAGCCTGCTATATCAGTCGCAAAATGGCTCTTCGACCACGTGGTCGCTGTTATTCGTAATTTGTCTAATTTCAAAACAAACTATGCAACAAATTTTTTACATCAACCGTATTTTTCTTTGTTAAACCAACTGAATACGCTAATATATAAACTGTTAAACTGCATAAATAAAAATTCCTTTCCTACAAAAACTGTGTTTCTCTTTCAGGTATCATTGGCAACACTATACAAATATTTCAATGAGAGTAACTGGATTTCATTTCGTTCCGCTCTACTCACGTTTGAGAAAATGTTGAGAATTCAACATTTCTCAATTTGAAAATAAAGGAAAACTTCATATTAAAAAATTGCCTTTTAGTTTGATACCGCTATCAACGGTTATTTGAGATGCATTTGAGAATCAACGTTTGAGATTTGAGAAAAGGACTGATTCTCAAATGCATTTCAAATTGAGATTTAACAAAAATGTTTATTGGGTCTAGGCGAACGCACATATATGAGTGCAACTGAATTGTGTTTGAAGTGTAGTTAACGGACGAAATAAAGACCACATATATGTATGTATTCCAAATTAGGATACTGCAGTAATGTTAGAATGGGTCGCTTTGTGTGAGAAAATAAATGGAGCCATAAGCAAATAGTGTAGCAAATATATTATAATGCGAAATATTGCGTATGTACGTGTATATAAATCTCTAAAAATGGTGTGCTTTATTTAAGAGACTATATACATATATTTACATTTGTTAATATTTTCTGTTTTTTTTTATAATCTTAGCCGCACTCCAAAGCCTAAATGTGTGGTTGCTTGTATGTGCATGTGAGTGCGCAACATGTATGTCGCAAGCAAGTGTCTTTGCTTCGCCACTGAAAAAATAGCGGTCAATTATCAACGGGTGCCGGGTATGTAAATAAGTGTGTAAGTATCTACTAATTTAATGTACATATGTATGAATATTCGGAGCAGAGACTCTGAAGGGCTAACTATAATATGAATAAGCTGCCGTAACTGACTGTCAGAAAAAGAACGAAAAGTCTGTCAAATGCATAAGCAACGTATTGTAGACTTTTAGGTGGCTATATTTTACTTACATGAGTTCAGTGTTGCCACATTTATTAGATTTAACAATAGCCACTATCAAGCAGTTTGTTGTAGATCACACAATTATAGTAACCTAGAAACTCCGAAGAAGTGTTCGCCTTGCGAAACTTTCAGGATAACCTGGTGTTTCTGTAAAAGGAAACGCTTACGGCACACTTCCTAATGTAGAACCAGAACTTCTTTTGACCTGTGTTACATGTAGGACCGAATCGAAAAAGTTACCAAGTTGAAAAATAAGTCACCAAATTACCAAATATGATAAATAAAGGAAAAAATTACCAATTTCGGTAAAAAAAGCCAATGCGGCAACACAGCATGTGTTAGATATGTACATACATACGTACGAGGACAAACAGCTGATTCCGTACGGAAGGTGTGATCAGTATCGCTCTTTCCTTAAGCAAATGACGTTTGGCGAAACTTGACGAAACTTGATGTGAAGCAAATTATAGTTTCAGAATAGGATTTATGTGTATTCGCACGTTTGCATACGCTTGTTTATTCATATTATAGTTAGCCCTTGAGAGTTTAAGGGGTAAACGAAACTACACATATCCACATGCATTATATACACACTGTATGGGATAAAGCAGAAGATTCCCGATTGGAAATTCGGGACTTATATGTATAAATATGAGCGGGTTAAGAAAATAAGTTTATATACATATATGTATACGTACATATGTATGTTTTACAATAATTTTTGGGTGACGGGAGGGGCGGGAGAGCTAGTCTATTTAATTAAATCAGTGGTGCACAGCGTTGGCAGAGCTCCCAATACAAGCGCAATATTTTTGTATCTGTATGTGTGTACTCAGCAAACCAGCTCGCGCATGTGATGCTTACAGCTAGGGATGCAAACAATGCATCGATGTTTTTGAAACATCGATAATATCGGTTCAATTTTCGATGTTTGCCATCGATGTTTATAATTTACTAGCATCGCGAAATTGACGATACATCGATGGAAGTTTCACCGATGTTTTAAACATCGACTTTAAGGAGACTCCGACTTTCTTTCAGTATTTTTGACTGACCTTATATTTATTATTCATTCCGATTTTTTTTGTTATTCATGGCCTTATAACGATTACATTCAATAATTTTATTGAACTTGAGGCCGATTCTTATGAAAAATGTTATTGAAAATCAACAAAAATTTACAAAAGGTAGAAGTTATAGCTGCTATTTTGGAGACCACCACATCTCCTCAGTGACCGCGGTTGAAGAAGTCTGATTAATAGATGTGGTGATCTCTCCTTAGCTTTGTAAATTATTATTGCTTTCCACAACATTTTTCATAAAAAACGGCCCAAGCTCAATAAAATTGTTGGATTTATTCTGAATGCTTATAACCTAGTCTTTAAAACAGAAGCAAACACCCCCTAGAATTTCAACAAGATCAGGCCTAGGACCTTTAGGCCCGAACGACCTTACGATGGTATGCATTTTGATTCTAATAATAGAAAGGGTATAGAAAGGACAATAAAATACAGGAAAATACAATCGGAATTATTAAAGTATTCAAAATTGCTTTAAATTTAACTAGAAATTAACAAATTGCAAAACATCGGAAACCAACGATATATCGATGTTTCTCTGGCGATGTACTTTAGCCTCGATGTTCTTTTCTCCGATGCATCGAAATATCGATGTATCGATGTTACTACTCAAAATTTGCATCCCTACTTACAGCATGAAGTACAAACGCAAACTGACCGGCTGCTAGCGGCGCATAAGTTCGGTAGCTGCGCACATACGACTTGTGTGTGAAAGCCGAGTAGCTCCCGGAGACTCCCGTGTGCATCACTGAATTAAATATATACGTACATATGTACTACTATTGTTGTCTTATTTATTAGCCGCACTCTAATATTTGTTTTATTTCTTGAACAGCTTGTCGCCTTAGCGCATCTAAGTGCAATATCAATGCTGTCTAGCGGATTTTGGGTCTTGCCCAAATGTATGTACATATGTATGTATACCCCTGTGGATATGGAGTACGTATGTACCCTGTAGGGAAAACACGAACTAGTGAACCAAATTTCTAGTTCAGTACTAATTCTTTTTCGCCAAAAACGAACCAGTCCGATAGTAACTAGTCCCGCCCCAGTCCAAAAGCAGTGAAATGTGGTACTTTAACTAAACTATTTTATTTCAAATTTTAAACGCAGGGAAGGTAATCATTATGAGTAAAATAATTTAAATCAGCATTTAATCATTATTTTATGAATTATTATTGAGTTTTATTCTTTCCCTCAAACGGAAATAATTATTATTTGATTTTTATTTTTGGGATTACAAATAATGATTATTTTATGATTTTTAGTTTTTCGCGCAGAGATTATCAATAGTTTTGAGTTTTATTTTTCCACTTAAAAATAATGATAATTTATGAAATTGAAAAGGCTTGAAAAGTTTGGGTCTTATTCCTCTTATAAGGGTGCGGCTACCTCTCAAAAGGATACGTCGGCAATCACGCTGGTATAGTTTTTGAGTTGCTTAATAATCATTATAGTTAGTGATTCCATAAACAAAGGCCAAGATCCTGAAGGAGAATTGAGAAAGGCAATGCAGTTGCAGAAAAAGAGGCATTTAAAAAAAAAGTGTCAAAATAATTATCTCTTTCTCACTAAATTTATTTAAAAATGCAAGCCACCAGAGCTACCTTTTTTTTAAGATAAGACAAATTAATTTTTTTTTATGCAATCCAGCACAGCTACCTTAATACAGTCAGTCAATAAAGTTTAGGTACAACGAATTTTTTACAATACGGGCAACTATTTTTTAAATATTTTAGTTTTCGGTAATTTTTTATAAAAATGTGGTCAATTCTACAACAAGATCTGCAAAATTTCATTAAAATAATTCACTTTCTATTAACGCTCTCTACAAAAAGTTGAGTTTACAGTTTTTTAGCCCATTCAATTTTAGTATAATGAAGTGCAAGTATGAGGAAGCTAGGACTTACCAAACAACAAAAAAAAATTGCTAAATACAATGGTAAGTCCTAGCTACATCAAACTTGCACTTTGTTATACTAAAATTGACTGGACTAAAAAACTGCGTACTTAACTTTTTTCTAAAGAGTGTAAATTGCAATATTTGGATGGAAATTTGCGGAGTTTTCTTTAATTTTACATAAGGTTTGGAACTCTGATTTTTGGGGGGATATGTTTATAAAAAATTTGGGAAAAATAAAATATTTAAAAAATAGTTGCTGGTATTGTAAAAACTTCGCTGTACCTAAACTTTATTGACTGACTGTATATCTTATTTAAGTACGACAAAAACTTTCAAAGTACTTCATATACATATAAGCTTAAAAACAACTGAATTTACTTAAAAATCAATATGCTTAAATTTAGACAAGTAAGACAAAGGGAACTAATATTTTTACTTTTAACCAGAACGCACTTTTGTTTTTTACTTACAACTTAAGTCTAATACTACTACTACTACTTCTAATGTGGCTTATAAATCTATACGAATTATATAAAGCGAAGTCTCTTTTTTTCATGAAATTTTGTATATACAGTATATTTTGCTTAGCTGCACATCCTTCTCCGAAAAAGGCACTTAAGCGAATTTTCTTTACTACTTCAATGAGGAAGGTATCCAAATCCCTATAAACCAAATAATGGGGAGGCACTTACCGCGTAGAAATTACTGCAAGCGAAACTTTTACCAAATAGTATCTAATTATCTATATAACTACATAAATTGATAGCCATTTTCGTTGTTCCGCGAGATGAGCAAAATAAATAAAAGATTGTAAAATTAGGTAATTGTAGGGTCAGTGCAGGTAAACGTAATACTTTCTTTGATAATTGATACTAGTTGCACAATTTTTAAGGCAGGTATCGCCAATGTGCAGGTATGTTGAATGCATCTATCGGTGCAGTTTCCTTATAAATGTTTAAAATAATGCCTCTGATGCACATTTTGGGGTAGGTATCTTAAATGTGCACTTAAGCATAAAGGCAGCAAAGCAAAATATACTGTAAATAGCTTTCGGTAACCACCATGTTTTAGGCTAAAAAAAATTAACTTTTTTCGTGTAGGTGGACCAGGGACCGTTCTATTCTAAAAAATTTTATTATGGTCCGATTTGCTTAAAATTTGGTAAGTAAGTAGCTTTTTAGCATATATGATAAATTTTTTTCCGGGAAGTGGTCCAGGGACCGATCTATTCGAAGAAATCGTATTTATGGTCCGATTTGCTTAAAATTCGGTACTTAGAAAGCTTTTTACCTGTACGCAGGTAGCTTTTTAGCATATATTAGCATATATGATCAACTTTTTCCGAGAAGTGGACCAGGGACCGATCTATTCGAAAAAACCGCATTTATGGTTCGATTTGCTTAAATTTGGTACGTAAGTAGCTTTTTAGCATATATGATCCATTTTTTCCGAGAAGTGGACCAGGGACCGATCTATTCGTATTTACGGTCCGATTTGCTTAAAATTCGGTACGAAGGTAGCTTTTTAGCATATATTAGCAGACATGATCCATTTTTTCCGAGAAGTGGACCAGGGATCGATCTATTCGTAACAATCTTATTATGGTCTGATTTGCTTAAAATTCGGTACGTAGGTAGCTTTTTGGCATATATGATCCATTTTTTCGAAGAAGTGGACCAGGGACCGATCTATTTGAAAAAATTGTATTTACGGTCAGATTTGCTTAAAATTTGGTACGTAAGTAGCTTTTTAGCATATATGATCCATTTTTTC